GCATATTTCACAAGTCTCTAACCATATACTGTCACTTATCATAACTAATCCCTAGATAACGTGGTCTTTCAATAACACCTGCGAAAGCTAAGTCCCACCACCATTACTACTTAACTAATTATCAACGACAAGATCAACCCACTTATCCAATCTCTTTACTCTAAGATAATGACTAGAAATCAATCCTATCTAGGATCACAATCAAGAGGATCATCTACATCATCTAGCGAGCTGACAAGCTCCTGAAACACAAGTTTAAAAAATTAAGGTCCACATATCCATCGGACTAGCCACATGAAACTATTCGGATCACAATGTCATTAATCCCAACTCGACTATCAATACACACCCTATCCTCAATGACACCTCTTACCAATTTAGAAGAGTACGTCCAACTCTAAAAGAACTTTTTCGTATCAAATCATTACAATATCCAACCTCCTACTCTCAAAGTCACTACTGAAGTGAAAATAAAGACCTTTGACCCGACATTTTGTCTAAGTAGAATTAATTCAAGGAAAATGGTTGATTAAGCTATGTCCTTTTGTCAATTCGACTCTTACAGCCATGTCGTTCTTGTCCTCAAGTTGGAACTTCAACTATCATTCTCATAAACTCATTAACAGAATGTCAAACCTCAAAAACCGCCATGCGACCTCAAAGGGTGCCTTACCAAACAAGAGTCACATCAAGGACCTCAACAAGTAATTCGTACTTAATCACCAACCAAGAAAATCGAGAAAATTTCCATCAAAAATCGCTTAAAAAATACAATCATTCCTTTAATAGCCATGGTACTCTAACCTCTCAAGGTCCTATTTAACATATCAATCCGAAACAAGATACCTCAATGGATACATCAAGCTTCACCATCAAATGAAAATCTCAAAGAAAAGTCCCAAATAACATTATTTTGGTACGAATCTCAACAACACAACCATCGTTACATGATAAAGCTCATATCATGACTACTGCACAAATCACCGACTGGGCTACAGTTACAATTGTAATATGATAAGACCACCACCAGCACATCGAGCTGGAGAGAGAAAACTCATGATACCTTCATGATCAAATCCAATTTCCTCAAATCATTCCGTCGCATAATGATTGCAACTACTATCAATACACACCTAACTATAAGCTATAATAAGAAATTTTGCAAATAAAACCAATCAAAATTCAATACTTCCTAAACATTCCATCAAATCTCACTTGACCCTAAGACTCCCAAAACTCAAATCAATCATCATAAATGATTTCAAGTAAACATCCTACTCATTCACTGAATTCAAAATGGATCCTCAATAACAAAGGACTCATGTCCCCAAGAATAACATTATAATGAACCACAACCATTAACCTATACAGATAAATCACATCAATCCCGTGGCAATTACAGCCAGACTCGTAAAAGAAGAACTCTGGAAGGACAAACACCCTCCCTCACAAAGCTCACATCCCAACCACTATCTCATAGATAACGCTGTCGAGACCAAAAACTTCACTTCCTACATGGAAGTAGGTCGACAAAACTCATTTACATTACCACCAAAACCCTGAACAATAAAAAGGACACACACTACCTCTAAATCACAAAGGTGATAATCTCCCCTACAAAAAACCCAATAAAATAGCCCAATATGAGATTCTACATGCTTCATGCATGACAAAGTGAAACTGGCATCAAATTTATGACTTCACAAACTGACCCAAAATCCCGTAAAAACTTCACGCATAGGCAAAGAAATCTACTACCAATCTCGGGCTCTCATGAAACATACCGAGATAGCACGTTCGCAAAACCAACATAGGGAAAATTTGATGTATGCAATGTAAGGAATGCAACTATGAGTTCCAAGGGCATTGTGTCCAATTGAAAATCGGTTCCGATCAAATCGTAGCCCTCGTCGTGCTCGTAAACTTTGCCATTAAGGGGAAAATGATGAAATCTAGCCTTAAATGTGTGAGTTTAGAGAGAGAGAGGTTTGGTTCGACTAAAGTGGAAGAGTAAGAATGACCAAAATTTGGTCATTTAACCCATATGTATAACCTTGGTCAAATGTGGGGTCCGCTTTGACCTAAGAAATGTCCAATATGCCCTCTGATGCATATATATATATATATACATATACTATACTATATTATAGATCCTACAATGATGTAATTAAACACATAGCCATATAATTATACTCTAAATAACAAAATATGAAATTCAATGACCCAAAAAAATGATCCTTAGTACGAGAAATCCGGGTGCGGGACTCACCCGGCCCGAAAACCCGAAATTGCCTAAATGGCTCAAAATGCACTCCTAAGAGTTCTAAACTCTAAGAAATGCTCCAAACCTCACTTAGAACCTTTGTGACATGCTAACCAGTGCGTGGCATGCAAAACGAGACAATAAAATAAAATAATCCGAAATTTTGAAAAATGCCCAAAAATGGCAAAATTGAGAAACGTCACTGAAGGGAAGTTCCATGTGTTATCCTAGACAAAGGATGGCACCATAGTGTTTAGAGGAATGTTCAGGTTCTGGACTGTAATAGTTCGAATCATTTGAAGTAGAGAACTTTGTCCTATCCAGTGTCATGCCAAAATGTGGAGGATTCCCTATTGCCAATCTTGTGGAAGATAAATGGCCGTGCCATAGGTCTAAGTTGCATGAGTTTCCTCCAACCCTAGGAACATTGTTGCAGGATTTTGACCTACTAAAAACTGTCTGTCTTGATCAGGTAAGACCATCACCATATATGTAACCCAAATGCTTTGTCGGTTTTTAGAGAGTAGCGATCCCATATGCTTTATTGCTCCATTATAATTTGATGCTTCAATGTAGGGGAAACTAAGACCCCCATTGCATTTAGGGGTGCAAACCTTTGCCCAAGCCACTTTAGCATTAGACTTCTTGAGTTCCACCCCAGACTATAAGAAATTCCTTATAATGTTGTTTAAGTCTTCAAGAGTGCTCTTGGGTAAGATGAACATGATGGCCCAATAATTGATGGAAGAGACAAGGATGGATTGTATAAGCTGAAGCAATAGATAACTATCAACTAGACCAGTGGGAAATTAATTTGGTGGTCCTCTCAGTGAGTGACCTACAATTATTGGTTTTCAACCTTGCAGATGTCAACAGAACCCCCAAATATCTGATGGGTAATGTTCCCATGGCATACCCCAATTCTAATTTAATTGTCATCTCTGTAAGAGGATCCATTCCTGACAGAAAGATGGAACTTTTTGAAGCATTCACTATCAAGCTAGAAAGGGATGAGAATGTATCAAGGGCTTGCTTAATAACTTTGACTGAGTTGAGGTTCCCATAACAGGAAAGTAGGAGGTCACCATCAAATGTTAGGTGACTTAGTTGTAAATTCTTGCATCTCCAATGAAATTGAAGGTAGAGGAAGCTGAGATCATCTGATTAAGGATTAGGGTGAGGACCTCCATAACAATGACAAAAAAAAATGGTGAGAGGGGGTCTCCTTGTTTCAATCCCTTAAGCCCATTGAAGTAACCCTGAAATTCTCCATTAAGTGCTATAGTAAAGGATGAAGATGTAATGCATGCCTCAACAAGGGCTACGTATTGGGATAGGAAGCCAAACAGAGATAAAGCATCAGGTAATAACTCTCATCCAACAGGATCAAAGGCTTTTCTGAGGTCGATCTTGAATGTGCATCTTGGGGAATTTGATTATAAGTGGTAGCCTTTCATGAGTTCTTGAGCTAATAAAATAGAATCACCTATATTTCTGCCTTGAACAAATGATGTCTGAGTGGTGCTTGTGAGGTGAGGTAGGATAGGTTTTAGCTTGTTTGCTAGTAGCTTTGTTATGCACTTGTAAATAACATTGCAGCAGATATGGGCATATAGTCATTGAGAGATGATGAGTTAGGGCATTTAGGTACAAGAGATATGTATTAGCTGTTAATCTGTTTTAGGAATTTCCCATTAGAGAAGAACTTTGATATAGCCTTTGTGACATTATAACCAATCACAGACCAAGATGCTTGGAAGAAATGGGAGTTGTATCCGTCAGGTCTAAGAGCTCTATCCTTGTTTAATATATGTTTACTATATACCTCAATTAAACATTCAACTCAATGGAAAATGAAACTAAAAAAGTAAAGGTCGACGTTATCTATGGTCTAGTTGGTCTCAAACTCATTTATGGCCTCATATATCTCATCTTCACTAGTCAATGGTAGTATTGACGTTATATTTTTTTAATTAGTTGACTTTTGACATTTTAATGGTGCATTAAGGAAAGAGGTGTAAGGGCAAAGTAAACCAAATCTTAGGGGTTGTTTAGGCGGCTTTTTTTTTTTTTTTTTCACTAGTTTAATATGTGAGTAATAAAAGCAAGCCTTGGGTGTCAGGGCATTTAACTCTTTTACAAACCATTTTTAGATCTCTCATCCTACAAACTATAAAATTTAAGTAGTCCAAAATTTATTTCTTTTCAAATTTCTTTTTACAAATCCCATTTTAATCCAAACGGTAAAATAAAATTTTATATTAATTCCTTTTTCAATTCTAATTTCAAATCTCAGAAGTATTTTTGGGTTTCCACACAAAACCCCCTGAATCTAATTTTTCACTTGTATGTTTTCGTTCAAACATCTATTGTTCTGTTTCGGCTTTGATTGCCCACTTGTAAATATTTACCTTTTTTAAAAAAAATAAAAAAGTCAGTGAGATTTTCGTCCTCCAAACAAAGCACCAATTTTTGAATCCCAACCGTTACGGCTTCAACCCCTCACGACCATCCACAATCATAGTTCCATAACGACCATAACCGCCACGTCTATAGCCATTTTCCCTCCAAAATCTCAAATTCTCTTTTAATTCCACACTCACTCTATATTTACGCACACAGACGCACACACAAATACAATACACCCCATTTGTTGAACTACCTATTGCAATACCATAACTTCCACAATCTTAATTAATTGATTCAACCTCATAAGAAAAAAATGAAGAACACAAACATGGTTTCTCTCTTAGGCCTCCTCTGCCTATTCATGATCATCTTGGCCTCCATGAACGCTCCGGTGGGAGCCTCCGAGGAATTCAAAGTTGGCGATGTTGACGGTTGGCGGCAGCCTGCCGCCAATGAATCTTCAATGTATACTCAGTGGGCTGCCAAAAACAGATTTCATGTTGGAGATTCACTTCGTGAGTTCATTTTCTAATTTTTTTTTTCTTTTATTAATTTTCTTAAATTTTATGGTATGTTGGTATATTTATTTTTGAAAAGATTAATCATGCTATTCTTGATTCATGGAAGTAGTCTAATTTGGTCACTCTAGAAGTTTGAGAAAATAAGTTTATATGATTTTTATCTTTAGGGAAAAAAAAAGTGTATGATTTGAAAAAAGTATATGTTTATTTTTTATTTTTTATGATGTGTTGCCTTGTTAAGATATGAGATACACAAATTACTTAAGAGAAATTTACATTATATATTAGTGTTTATCTATCTATCTTTTTCTTTTTTTTCTTTTTCTTTTTTTTCGAGTAACTTGCAGTTCTCTCTTGTTAGAGAAAAAAAAATGGTGCGATAATACACTTTTTCTAGTCCAAAATTGTGTCAAATAGAAGGAACTAATGAAAACAAGAATTTGGGAAAATGTTGTAATTTAGCAATAGATTTGTGCTAGCAATAATAAAATAGTCACATGTTCATCAACTTTAGTGGCGCCCAACTCAATTGGAATATAGTCATAAATGTCTAGCATTTTTCATAGAAATAAAGTTAGCAATTTAACTGTTACACTTGTATTCTTACACACACACACACACACACACACACACACACACATAATATATTACTGAAATTTATGTTTGTTCCACAACTTGTTTGAATAGGGTTTGAGTACAAGAACGACTCAGTCCTGGTGGTGGACAAATGGGGTTACTATCACTGCAACACGAGCAATCCCATCTCTGCCTTCAATGATGGTAATAATAGCATTGTCAATCTTCACAATCCTGGACCCATGTATTTCATCAGTGGGGATCCTGATCACTGCAAGAATGGCCAGCGATTGCTCGTCGACGTGATGACCCTTCACCCAATCTCACACACTCCTCCATCCATTGCCAGTCCTCCTCAACCTTTTCCGGCAACATCTCCTTCACCGTCTCCGCTTTCAAGTGCAGGAGTATCAGTTTCAGTGCCACCCATTTCAGTCTTGCTGGCTCTCGTTGCCCATATTGTGGCATTGGTGTGGTGTGCACCATAGTGTTTTTATTTTTTATGATATGACATTTAGTTATGTAGGTTAAACATTGTGTCAGATTATGGACTTATGTGGTTTCAATTTCTTCAATATTATTTTGTAAACATTGTTGGGGAGACTACTATATGTTTGATGATTATTTTAGGATGTTTTTCTTGTTAGTGATTGCTGTTTCTTTTTTGGGCTTATTGATTTAATTTCATATTGCATTTGATCAGTTGATGCTCAATGTATACATTGATTTAATTTCATATTGCTTAGTGTGTGAACATATGAGTTGAATGTGTGCTTTTTTACCATACCTTTAGTCATTAAGCACGCAAGTTGTTTTTTCTTGTAATTTTTGTAAAGTTGAATCTGCTAATTAGTTTTTTTAGTTGACAATGATAATGTCGGTCTTTTAAAACATTTCATAATTCAGCACCCAGTCTCCCGTTCTACATGCAGTAGATAATTATTAAAAAAATTCTTTAAGGATGATCCTAAAGAATATAGACTCCCCACCTTTAAATTGTGAAATAAAAGTCTTGCTGGTAGGTTATATCTTAAAATTGGATAAGTAGTTAATATGTGTTAATTGGGATGAAAAAATTAGCCAAGAGGTCCACTTGAAGCAGCCACATAAGTGTATTTGTCTCTCTCTCATTTACTCTAATAGATTAATATTATTAGTATATAAATTTCTTTTTTCTTGGGTTGAACACATATTTGTTTAATTCTTAATTAAGACGAATCTGAAAAACATTTGTATTTGATTTTTTTATTAAGTGACTTAAATTTGAGCGGTTCTTAACTCAAAATTTTTAAGGCTTAATAATAGAGTTGAACTCATTGTGATTGTTTAAAATCGAGTTCATAAAAAAAAAATTACAAATCTCTCATATTTGAATGTTTTTTGAATTGTTCTTAACTCAATTTTTATGGCTTGGTTATTGAGTTAAAGTGTCAGTGTGATTCTTTAAAATCAAGCTCACAAAAAAATTACGCATCTCAAATTTAAATTAGAGCATAACTTCTTAAATAATCAACCACTGGCATTTAAATTCATCTTATTGCTTTTCGGTTGACATAATATTATCTTCTGAAATATTAGAAAAGTAATCAAAGGACTAATTGGTTCAGTGGTATCACCCCCTTCCCTCAAAGAGGAGGTCGGAATTCCCGGGAATTCGAACTCGATGAAAATAAGATGTGTGCCTAATTGTTTTAACTTTCAAAAAAAAAATAGAAAAGTAATTCAAATATTAATAACAAGTGTATCATGATTGAATTAAAAATGTTGATAAAGAATTTTACCAATGATTATAAATAAGCTAAAGGGTAGTTCGATTATTTTTATTAGTAATTATTAATAATATCACTATATGCAGAGGGTACACGGAAACAACAGTAGGCATTTCACATAGAGAACCATCTTCCCAACATGAATATATTCTAGAACATTCCACAATCCCGAAAGCCCTTATCTTCGACTACTAAAACCCTAATCTCCACTTCGAGCTCTTCTGAGGTACTTCTCATCGTTGTTCGATTCCTGCAATAACCTTGTAATTCCCACTTTCTTTTTTTCTACAAATCAATTCTTTACAATCATCTTTTTTACTGTGTTTCAACACAAATGTCGCTATTCAAAATGTGTGTGTATATATATGTGTGTTGTTTGAGGTTGTTCTAGATAAGGATTTATTATTGTTGGATAACAATTTTACATCTTTAGGTGTTCTGCGTATTAGATATAATAATGCTGTTTTGTATGGCCGTGTTTGGAATCTAATTGTGTTGGGTATATGCCATTTATTATGTGATTGTAGTTTTTGAGTTCAAATTCCTTAGCGTTTTATGTATTCACCTTATTTAAAAAACAATTTACGCCACGGTAGGTAGTATGGAATACGTTTAGAGTACAAACTAGAATTTCTGCAGTTCTGATTTCAAAGCATGGATTCCAGTTTGTTAGATACAGGATTAATGTATTTGTTAGTTGCATTGATTCTACAACTGTGATGTAGATTACCTTGTAGTGAAGATTTCGGTACTTGGTCAAGTGAAATGATCAAATGACCTGTTTTTATTTTAAATTATTGGGAATTTTCTGCTACTCCCTTCTTTATTTGACTAATTGGCAAAAGAAAAGTGTTGATGAATCCTTCAATATTAGCTTGTTGCACACATATTATGAATGCATGGGAATTCATGAAAAAAAAAAAACATGGAAATTAGCTGAATAACACTTAATGAATACACAATGAGATTCTATTAACAACCAACTACTCCAAAAGCTTAACCTTAAATCCTTCAACACGCTCCCTCACGTGTTTCAATTTTAATTATTAGGATGACTGTGAGGTTTGAACTCAAGACCTTTAGCATTGATACCATATTAACACTCCATCTACTCTAAAAGCTTAAGTTGTTGGAGAGGGTGTAACTTTAATATTTAAATTCTTCACCAGACCCTACATGGAAATTAGCGGAATAAGGTGTATGGGTAATCTTGTAATCTAGGATATGCTCTTTTACAAATTAGCATGCCTCATGGACGGAATCATCCGTTTCCGCTCTTGTTCGAACTCTTTCGGACAGTTAAAAAATAATGGACCTTCATTTACATTAAAAAATGTGCACAAGTGTTATGAAATTTGCTCAAGGAATTTGATGTTTGTGTATTTTCTATTCTTTGGTTTTTATACATGCAAAGACAGCCTAAAAAAATAAATCTATATACTTTTAACAGGCACATATATAGAGGAGTGTTCTACATATATATGGCTCAGAATGGAGTTATTTAGAGAAGGATTCATGTTCCCAACCCTAAGAAGTTCAGGGGTTATCCCCCTTGAACCCCCTGTTCATATCGAATGTCCAGTTGGACACTCTAGGGTGTGTTGGGTTTAGTATGCATGTGTAGCTACATTTTTCTGTTTGTCCATTGGCAGGATCAACTCTGATATAGTCAAGCTGATAGTTGGTCATGAAGACTCAAAATATAGAACTCTGCCAATGAGCGGGCAACAATATATTTCTTTAGTGTCTTGCATCTATTGTCTTTTATGAGGTATTAATTATATTTTTCAATGGGCTTTTTGTGGCACTATGGTGTTTAAAGTTTCAGGTTCTCGGTAGAAGATGGCATCAACCTTCACCAGCATGTCTTCTATAGGCTCCCTTGTGTCTCCCAGCAGCCATACAACGGATAAGAAATTTATGAATTTGTCTTCATTGGCTTTCATATCTTCAATAGATTTCAGAAACGGGAGACAGAATGTAGTTCAGCAGAGAAGTTGTTCTTCAAAGGTTATGGCAATGGCCAAGGAGTTGCATTTCAACAAAGATGGTTCTGCTATTAAGAAGCTACAGGTGAGTTTGCAAATAAATGTTCTCATTTGGTTTCATTTTTTTTTTTTTTTTTTTTTCATTTGACGTTGATGCATTGATTTCTTTTTCTTCTATTATCCAATTTCAGACCGGTGTTGACAAGCTTGCGGATCTAGTTGGAGTTACTCTTGGCCCCAAAGGAAGAAATGTAGTTCTGGAGAGCAAGTACGGCTCCCCTAAAATTGTCAATGATGGTGTAACTGTGGCTAAAGAGGTATACCTTCCTCTCAGCAATGAGCACTTTCAATTCTGGAATTTTCTCCTTCCAGGCTTGCAATAAAAATTTAGGCCGTGATAATTTGTTTTACTTTTAAGTTTTATGTGCTTTTATTTTTTTATTTTTGGCTTCTGCATGTTGAAATGATTTTTTTTTTTTTAAATCCCTTTCTTTTGGTACTATTTAGTTCATCTTATTTGATCACTTATAAATGAAATGCTTTTGTTAGTGAATTCTGTGTTAAGTTGAATATTTCAGTTCTTATTGGTTCTAATTTGGTGAATTTCCTACAGGATGTTTGAATTATGTGACTTAAGTTGTCTTGGTTCACTAATTTATGTTTTTCCTGGGATGTACACTATTTTGTTTACAATATAGTGAAATGTTCATTTAGTTTTGATGTCATTTTGTTAAAATACTTTCCGAAAAAAGACATTTTTTAAAGAAACACAAATCTGGACTTCTTTTAACAGGTTGAGTTGGAGGACCCTGTTGAGAACATTGGTGCTAAGTTGGTTAGACAAGCTGCTTCAAAGACAAATGATTTGGCTGGTGATGGAACAACAACATCTGTTGTTTTGGCACAAGGTTTGATTGCAGAAGGTGTTAAGGTTTGTAAGAACTAATATTACTTTGTTAGTATTTGTGGTGGGAGTAGTACTTGTGCCAAATCCATTGTCATAGTACATGGGAGGTTAAGAGGGAGGGATATGGGGATATGGGTTTGATATTTATCATTGGTTTAAAAAATAAAAGAATTGTTGCAGTATCTTTGACTTCTTAAGATTCACTCAGGTTGTGGCAGCTGGTGCAAATCCTATTCAAATTACAAGGGGTATCGAGAAAACTACTAAAGCCCTCGTGGCGGAGCTTAAGTTAATGTCAAAAGAGGTAAAATATGGTGCTTTTCAATTTGCTTATGTTAATTTTAAGTGTAAATGGGATTTTTTTTTTTTTCAAAAAGAATTATAAATTCTTTTTTAGGTTATGTTGTATTTTATTTTCTATCATAGAGAGAATATATGTATTTATGTAGTATATATTTTAGTTTCTAAACTTTTTAAGATTCTCTGTTAAATTTACTATACAGATTTCAGACTGAATATGGATTTACAGGTTGAAGACAGTGAACTAGCAGATGTGGCTGCAGTTAGTGCTGGAAACAACTATGAAATAGGAAATATGATAGCTGAAGCCATGGGTAGAGTGGGTCGGAAGGGTGTGGTGACTCTTGAAGAAGGAAAAAGTGCTGAGAACAGCTTGTATGTTGTAGAAGGCATGCAATTTGACCGTGGCTATATTTCCCCTTATTTCGTTACGGACAGTGAGAAAATGGCTGTCGAATTTGAAAATTGCAAGGTAAGCTGTTGCCATGATCGTATCATTCCTTTTTCATCTCAAAGGCAATATTCCACTCTCTTGCACTGCCTTCGCTGATTGTGATATTTTCTTATGAATTTACTGACAGTTGGATGTTGTCTATGCAGTTGCTTTTGGTTGACAAAAAGATAACAAATGCAAGGGATCTAATTAATGTATTGGAAGATGCTATTAGGGGAGGATACCCAATAGTAATTATTGCAGAAGACATTGAGCAGGAAGCTCTTGCTACTCTTGTTGTGAACAAGCTCAGAGGAGCTCTAAAGATTGCTGCACTGAAGGCCCCTGGATTTGGTGAGCGTAAAAGCCAGTATCTTGATGATATTGCTATCCTTACTGGAGGTCAGTCTATTTTTTAGTAATGTTTGCTTTATGTTATATATTAAGTTTGTATTTTCTTTTTCTTTTTTATCTCGATAATTCTGTTCTTCATGATATATTCAGGAACTGTGATTAGAGAGGAGGTTGGGTTATCTCTGGATAAAGCTGAAAAGGAGGTCTTAGGGCATGCTGCAAAAGTGGTACTCACCAAGGATACTTCTACAATTGTTGGTGATGGCAGTACGCAAGATGCAGTAAATAAACGAGTTGTGCAGATAAGAAACCTTATTGAGGTGCAAATATATATATATATATATATATTCTATTGTCCATATTCAATATGGTACCTTGTCTCCATTTTCTAGTGATGTTGAATCATTATGCAGACTGCAGAGCAGGACTATGAAAAAGAAAAGCTAAATGAAAGAATTGCAAAACTCTCAGGCGGTGTCGCTGTCATTCAGGTATCTTTCGATGTCCCAATTGAATATTGTTTTGTTTGAGTGACTAATAATTGAGAGTATCCATCCTTCTATTCTAAATCTAGTGATGTATATTTAGGTAGGAGCACAGACAGAAACTGAGCTTAAAGAAAAGAAATTGAGAGTAGAGGATGCCCTTAATGCAACAAAGGTACATTTGGGACTCGATTATGGAATACTTTCTTGATATGTTGTCATACTGTTATTTTCATTTTACATTAATGCGTTAAGTGACATAAACTTTTTGCTCTTTACAGGCAGCTGTTGAGGAAGGCATTGTAGTTGGTGGTGGATGCACACTGTTACGGCTTGTGGCAAAAGTTGATGCCATTAAAGATACTCTAGACAATGATGAACAAAAGGTGATATGTGTGTAAATGTCAGTGGCATTTATACTATGTAAGGAATATAGAAGTAATTAAAGGGATTTGTAAATGTCATGTGATTTGTAATCTGGTACACTGTGAATTGTTGACAGGTTGGAGCTGATATTGTTAAAAGGGCATTGAGGTACCCCATGAAGTTAATTGCCAAGAATGCAGGGGTCAATGGAAGCGTTGTGATCGAGAAGGTTTGTGCTTAAGATGAGTCCATGTTTATATTCTACGCATTAATTAAAAGGTTTTATTTCATATGCTAGCCAGATGGATTGATTAAGTTGCATTATTTGATTAGGTGTTGTCTAGTGACAATCCTAAGTATGGTTACAATGCTGCAACTGGAAAATACGAGGATCTAATGGCTGCCGGTATAATTGATCCCACAAAGGCAAGTATCTTTTGCGTTTTGAGATATTTTTGTAGATGAGGGTGATATGTTAAACATATGGAAAGTATATCGCAATAGAATATAGACAAATATTACAAGAAGAATTATTAAAGTATAACATGATGCCGAGGGTAGTATATTTCCTGTCGAGAATATAAAGATTGTTTGGACACCAATGACTAGATGATCTAGCCTTTGTAGTATTTTTCATGTCCAGAATGCAAAGATTGTTTCTAATAGATCAAATTAAAAAGAAATTTAAACTCATTATTTCTAGAATACAAACACAAACATTAAGGAATTTTGAAACCTTTAAAATTCACTTTCTTATTGTTATTTTAATGTGCTTATGTGAAGTCTATGCCACGCTGTCACTCTATGCCAATATGCAGGGAGGTTGTGTCAGATAGGCAACATGCGAGTACTAAGGAGGACTGTGCATGACGTCTATATGACAGTTCGGTTCTAAAGTCGGTCTTCCACACTTGTATATAGGATTGTGGAGGGTTGTAGCGTGATTGAGGATTCTAGAACAGTAAAGAGTTTGTATATTAGAGCATATTCTGAATTCTAGTACATTAGAGAGTTCGTAGTTTAGAGAATATTCTAGGAGGGTAGAGAGTTATAAAGAGATTGTAAATATGTAGGTAGATAGATGGAAAGTTCTAAAAAGTATATACATTCTTAGAGGATAGGGAGTTTTGTAGAAATGGTGAAAAACTAACTAGTTAGATGAAAAGTTCAAGTAGATGTTAGTCCTTGATTTTATTGCATCATGAGAGGAGGATACTTAAGGATTACTTATATAAAGGTAGAAGTCTCTTTTGTAATCAACTAGTTATAAGAGTGTGATGAGAGTATGTTGGCATGATAGTGTGCAAATATTGGGTAAAATATGAAAAATATGTGAATATGTAAGTACTCTATATATTATGTGACAATACATACAGTTGAATGTAATGGCTCTTGTAAGCCACAAATTCTCATTAGCCTTACTCCTAATGTGTATTGCTAACTGAATATTACGTAAGTGGAAAGTAAATCAAATCATTGATCCTATGCCTCTAATAGGCATATGATGAAAATAATATCATATAAAATCAAATTAAGATTAGATCAAATCCAATCCCTAAAGAGTAAAGATACTCCCAATACAGATCAAATCCCTATATTTTCTCCCAATACTCCCCCTCAAGCTGGAGCGAAGATATCAACTAAGCCTAGCTTGCCAATACCAGAGTGAAGGGCAGATTGTCCTATTGACTTTGTGAACATATCGGCAAACTGATTAGTAGAAGAAACGAAGGAAGTATGGATAACTCCACGTCACACTTTCTCCCTGAGAAAGTGAATATCAACCTTTGCTGGACCGAGCTTTTTTTTTTTTGGGGGGGGGGGGGGGGGGGGGGGTGGGGGGTTCAATTTTAAAACGTTCTTCTCAGTAAGATCAATGTTGATAAGCAAATACAATGAACACAAGGTATACAAAGAAAACCCTCTCAATAAGGAAAAACCTTGGTTCTTGGCCTCAGCCAGTATAAGCTCCACTAGTTGTATGCAAGTAGTTACAGACTCAGCTGTCTCATACTCTGCACACACCCTTGTATAAGTTGAAACACTAGCTTTCACAGCCTCTACACACACATTAGCTCAACCCAGTGCTCTCAAGCACTACCCTTGTCCTAAGTACCCTTGCTTGGACCCTAGAAGCTCTCATAGCTCACCAAATACATATAAAAGAATGAATATCAACAATATTCAAGCTTACACAAAAGATAAGAGTAGTTGCGTTGCTTGAAACAATAATCTGTAGCCTCTAGAACCCTTTCTGCAGAAACTAAGGGTTGAGGGGTAAATCTGGAAATTTGTGTCCCAAAATTATGAGATCACTCTCACAGCCTTATATCACCATTACAGACATACTCAGATGATAAACAAGATAAGTATAGCATGTGAATCACAATATAACCTCAGCAAGGCCTTGACAGTAGTTACACAATGAAGAACTAGGGTTTTGGTAGGTCAAAGCCACAAGTGACCAAAGTTCTGTCTAAAAACCAACTTCAACAGCCTTGATTCATCAATACAAACTTGCTAACATGTAGATTAGACAATTTATATATGAATCACAAGGCTAAACCAGAAAACAGCTTGAATCACAGGTCTGAGATACAAAAATCATTTGCAGCATAGTAAACCTCAAGAACAAGTGCTTTGCAAATGTAAATAGCCAATGTATATCTCAAGCTCAAAGTGAACCTTCAAACCAGCCCTTGCACCAGCAAAACTTGACAGCAAATGAACTCCATGATGAACACAACAACAAGGATCAATTCATTGACATTTCTATGAAGATTTCATGTTTAGATCATCATTAAGGACCTTAGAAATGTTGGTTCATGTGAAGCTCTCAAGTAAGGTTCAATGCAGGTCACTATTAGGGTTTCTCAAGAGGCTCAATTCAGCTGAAATGCTATAATAACATATATAAACTCAAGCATACAATTCAAGTCCCACTACAAGAAGGATATACACATGGCACCTGTAGCTAATAATTGGCTAGATAATGTTCTGACATTCTTAATTTGAATAGACCATTATACCCTTGCCAACTCAGCTGTTTTGTCTTCTAGTATACCAGAAATTATAGCTCACAATATAAAGGCTGTAACTGCATTCTTATCCCAGACTTGGTGGTTAAGAAATGCAATGAGGTATATACACTCTCACTCTAGGACCACATCAACGTGTCACACACCCGAGCTTCAAGTAGAAAGACCAAAATACCCTTGTAACAACCACGTGTCATTGTTAGCCCAAATCTGTTGCTGAGACTGTATAATTCACAATGCAGGCTAAATCACAGCTGTTCAATGCAATGCAGCTATCTAAACATATGTATAAACATATAATACAACTGTGAAATGACCATAGTACCCCTGAAAATCCCTGTAGCTAATTTCCATATACTAAACCTTAGTTAACATAGAAAATAGCCTGAACAGGCTGAATAGCTGCAATGTATTATCTTAAACCATTGTGAAATTGTGTCACAAGATGGTAAAAGACTATACTACCTATGTGATGATATAAGCCACTGTGCACATCAATGGTGATCATATAAGCCTTTAATAGCTCTTTTACACCAGGTTTTGACATTAAAAAGGCAAACACCAATTGGTACTAACTAGGACCAACAATCTCCCCTTTTTGCCATTAACGATGAAAACCTCAAAATGAAATAAGAACTAAAAAGTGAAGATTCAGCAACGCAAGTATATGAATACCACAGTCACAGACAGTTAAATATAAGCACCAAAACCTTATTAAAGGATAAAAAGTATCCTTATTTCAGTCATTTTCTCCTCTCTTTTAACATTGAAGGTCAGAAGGTGATAAGGACCAATAATTATAAGCTCAAGAGGGTGGTGGAACATGTTGACATGTATAGATAATTAGTTGTACTGTTGAGTATATAACTGTTAACATATATAAATATTTAGCTGTACATGTGCTGATTAACATAGTTATATGAGCTGTTTTTTAGTCTTTAATTTATTTCCTTCTTTGTAATTATTTGTGTACTATTTAAATCCTCCACAAGGAGAAGAATAAACACGGAGAATTATTCCAATTCCTTCATATCTAGAAAAATCTTCATGGTATCAGAGCCATCTAGAAAGGAATTTTAAAACCCTATTTTTCTTTTATGGTTTTTTTGCAAATACATCTTATTACCCAAACACCAGTTTTTTTCCATCACCCCAAAACCTACCGACAACCCTGACCACCACCATAGACTAGGTATCCTTATTTGATTTCATGGCAAACAAGATTGAAACCTCAGTGACTTCTGAGATTGATTCTCAAACTCTAATGATTCCTCCAACCACATCTAACCAGCATCAAGATCTAATGAATGTCCAGTTGATGCCTCATAAATTTGATGGCACCAATTATCTGGCTTGGTCACACTTTGTGAAGTTGTATATTACTGGCAAAGGCCGGTTAGGGTATTTGACTGGGGAAAAATCCCGACCTGCGATCAATAACCCAACTTTCACGACTTGGGTTGCAGAAGATGCAATGTTCTACTCTTGGCTCCTCCAAACTATGACCTTTGATTTTAGTCTTGGGTATATGCGGCTCAAGTCTGCTAAAGATTTTTGGGATACAGACTTATTCTGTGGGAGGAAATGAGACACATATTTATGAGTTGAAGCGTAGTATTCAGGCTGCTAGCAGGGAAGGACATTGGGGGCATATTACAACGCCCTCCCAGCTTTGTGGCAAGAACTCAACTATTATCAACCTTGTGAAATGGAATGTGTTGTTGATACTGCTCTGTTGAATAAGCGGATTGAAAAAGAACGCGTTTTTGAGTTTGTTGCTGGTCTTAACCTATACCTGGACCAAATAAGGACTCAGGTGCTTGGAAAAGATCCGTTTCCTTCTTTACATGAGGCCTATGCTTATGTGCGTACCTAGGCCCTCCGACGATCTGCTATGCTCATGCCACCTTCCCCAGAAGGATTTGCTTTGGTTTATACCATAAGTCAATCGCCTCGGGTATCATTAGCACATCAAGCCCGATCCTTTACCAACTGCAGCATCTGGTAATGTTGCTAAAACTACTAAATCTGATGACAAAGATTGTTTGGTTTGTGATTATTGTAACCAGACTAGACATGTGAGAGAACAATGCTTTAAACTCAATGGTTATCCGTCTTGGTGGCCGGGAAAAAAGGGTGACAAAGGTGAAGGCAGTAAGGGTGGAAAAGGGAGTCATTCTAGCTCCAAGGCTCATTATACCTCTTCTAGTAATCAAAATGGTGACCAATTTGCTGATAAGTTCTCTTCTGGTCAGATGGAACAAATGATTCAGGAGTGTGCTCGTTTACTCTCTACCAAGTCCAGTTCTTTAGCCATGTCCTCAGGTAATCTTGGTCATTGTTTTAGTGTATCCGATAAGTCTTCTTCAGAATCTTAGGTTATAGATA